GTCACCTTAAACCAGTTTTTTATTATTAAAAGATTAGAAAATCGGCACTTCAAAGACGATAATGACAATAATATCTAACATGCGTTTATGCCATTATTATTACTTTTTTACATTTGATTATACAATAAATATAGCTATTTATCTCAGATGTCTTACATGTATTTTGGAAAAAAAAACAGGAAATTTTAAATAAATATTGCATACATCTGCATTTTTGTTATTTACCCTGAGGCCCTCTTATCAGCAGGAGATTAGTGTAATGAAAACAGTCGCTCTCAGAAAAATACCAATACACAGCATAACTTGAGACTGTCCTCTTGTATAAAAGCATTCCCTTTATACATTAAATTTTTAATATAGAAATCTTTAATAAAATTATCAATTTTATTTATTTCATGCACAGATATATAAACTTATATTTAGCTCCATGATTTCATGGAAATTTTTTAATTATTTATATCTTTAAAAAGTATGCAAGCATTTCATGGTTGAAAAACATAATATCACAGTGTATGGATTGTTTTAAAATCAATGAATTAATATTCTCTTTCAATCTTAAACATGAGGAATTGCCTCTTAAGTTACATATTATTATGCAGAATGGCAAGAAATGTCGATAAATGGAAAAATATAGAAATTCCCACTTTAAAGACAATAATATCTAATATGCATTTATGCCATTATGATTTTTTATTGTATATTTGATAATACAAAAATTATTGTCATTTATCTATATGACCAACTAGCCTGAGTGCCAACGTCTGATGAGTCCCAGGCTTATGTCTAACATGCATTTTGAGAAAACCAGGGAATACAATTGGCCATTAAAATAGCTTTAAAAAACACTTTTACACAATTATCCATTACGGAGAACATTTAAATTTAATCTTATTAATTCTATTAATTTGATTTTAAGGGGTATTATTTTACACTTACAGTTAAATACTGGTTAATAAAAATATGATTACAATAAATTTTTTTTTTTAAATTTAAGCTTTAACATCACCTAAAATGTTAAAATTTACTTATTTATATTCATAAATAGGCCATATATTTCCAAAGTTTTTTTTTCTTACAACAGCTTAACAATAGATGTCCCCTGTCACTTGATATACAATTATCCAATAAACCATTTAGGTGTCAGTCACCTTCCCTGGCCAGCCTGGTCATATGGTCTAGTGCACTAGAAGTGCACACGGTGTGCACTTCTAGTTCAGCTCTAGTGCACTAGAAGTGCACAAGGGTGGGAAGTTTAGTGTGAACTCAACTGTAATGCTGAATTCATAGTTATCTGTCATGAAAAAAGCAAAATGTAAACACTGTAGAAGCTTGATCTCCATACAAAATAGATTATCACTGTTACTGTACTAAATGCCAAAAAGCAGTATAAAAAATTGTTCTGGCAATTCGTCAATGATTATTTTTTAAACAATAATAGAGAATACAAAAAATAAACTGCTTAAAAAAAAGTCATTTTTAGGCTAAATGGGTTTTTTATAGATCGGATGTATTTGAGGAAAAATATTTAAAACGACTATTCTCTAATATCAACATAATACGCACTTCTAAAAATAGTATTTTTATGAGTCGCAATTTAGCAGTAGCGTGTAAACTTACTGTTTTACTAAAACATTTAATCTATTCAGTTTGCTTTATCGTCATACAGATCATTTCTAAAGTGACATTTTCCTTGATTATATCTCATGCTTAGGTATGTTGAAACAGATAAATGAAACAAAATAACTCCTTGTCAAAATAGAACGTCTGGCAATGTTTCTCTAACGGTAAATAAGAAATAACTTTTCAATAATTTAAAACAGTGTTGACGTTAAACTTCATGCAATTTTCTCTTCCATTCAATACTTGATATTATTTTCACACATAAAGATGATACAAAAAATGAAAACAAATGCCGGAAAAAAGTCACATATAAATAAAACAAAAACACAGTCCATGAGTTAACTTATTTAATTATTTGCCAACCGGTTATTTTGTTGATGATGATGATACATTGATTGTGATGATGATGATTATGATGTTGATGATGTTTGTCAAACTTTTGCTTCTCATAATGATGTTTCTTCTCTCAATAATTGAAAGAAAATCATATTTCTGATGAGTTTGATAATAAGCAGAAGTATTTTGATTGCACTGATGAGGAAGTTGATGAAGGTAAGATTGTGACGATTGTGATGGTAAGAAGTAGCATGTTGATGGTTATTCTGATGATAAGGATGATATGATAATACCCTTAAAGAGATCTGTAAACTTAAACGTTTTTAAAACATAGGGGCAATCAATTTACTGCAGTAAATGCTTGAAGAATACATGTGTGTCTAAACTTTAAATAATTTAATATTCTTAAATATGGTGGTCGGTAGCGCCCAATTAAAAGCCACGAGAAATTTTCTCGTCAGTTTACAAAATTTCGCTTGCATATTTAAACTCCATGAGCTTTTATGTTGAAATTGTATAAAACTTCGCAGCTTATAGAAACTCCCGAGTCATTTGTCATACTTCTGTCGTGAAAAAAAAAGAGTTTTACAATGGAAACCGCGACGTTTTCTGTCTACATAGTAGTCTTAGCCACGCAAACTTATCATACTTAACGATAAGCCGGGTAATGTTTCTGCGCAAAAAGTCGCGACTGAAAATTGTTATTACTCGCCGCGATATTTTTAAGACTGTTGGTGAGGAACAAAAAGTCGATCTCCTCGACTTTTTATAGAATCTTTTTTGCATAACATGTCGCGGATTTCTTCCTGTTTCTTGACTTTTTTTATAGACAAACAAACCATGGACGCTACAGGCCAATCGTTGTTTCCAACAACTGTTGTAAAATAATGAGGTTTATACATTCTCCGCGACATTTTGTACGGTTTCGGAAGAAAAAATCGCGGGTTTGAAAGTTGTCTGAGACATTAAATGATAAAAAGATAAAATGGCCGCGACAGGCCACCATACTTCAACCCCGTTTAACTTCATCTAGGCGTATTTATATTGTATTCATAAATTCTGCAAGTATTTAATAATAACAAATAAGGATGAAGATATATTTAGCAACGATCATGTTTATCGATTTTGGTTTACATGTAATTAAAAAGAAATTAAACTTAAACAATTGGCATACAAAATAGGTGATATGATTCAATCAATATTTGTTTTTAATTGGTTAGAACAAATATACACACTATGGAGAGAACCTTATTATTTCTGACGTTTTTTTGTATAATTTATTGGTTATTTGACTGAATCAAATATTTCAACATCTTATAAAAAGTTTATTTATAGTAATGTATTTGTAAAAAACCTGAATGGAGGTAAATTATCACACCTTTGTGCTTCAAAATTACATTCTAAAGGGTATGACTGTTGACATGTCCCGGGTCCGTACTCGACAGCTAAAGTTGCATTTTTTGCCCTATGGCGGATGCACACTCATTAAATATAGACAACACACATGTTACATTCTTCTCAAAATCACTCCCGAGGCGTGCACGTCGCGGAGAAGTCAAGGTCAAGTACCATAGATGATTGATTGACCTCTCGAGACTTTCTCGGGAGGATGGCGCTAGCAAGAGCAGTTTTTGTAAGAGGAGCCGTCGGAAAGCTGATGCCTCGGACAGTATTGTCGTGTCCTTCCATCACCAACGATTGAAGAACAGGTTTCGGGAATATTATAACAAGTTGCCGCTGATGTGGACTCTACGATCGGACCAGCAAATGCGCAGATAATCTGGCCCAAATGGTTGTTATGGCACCAGTATAAATATACTTAAGATCATCAACATCATGATACATTCTCAATTACAACATACAGGGTCTTTAAACATATTTGAAAGTTTTATGACCTTTTACGTGACAAGTGAAATGTCGTTGTACCTGTACGTAATTTTGACTTGCACCTTGTTTAGGAAAATTATTGACACTTTTTTCACATATTTAAAGTGATATTCACATGCATTATATTCTTGAACAAAATATGAAGTTTTGCTGGTTGTATATATTCATGTTGTCAAATGGCTTCTGTGATGTTTTCAAAGTTAAATAGATAAAAAAGAAAAGCCTTTGTTAGATTTTAAAATATTACGAGCGTTCATTTCTTTTTATCATCGGTGCTCTACAAGTACTATGGATCAAGAAACACGATAAAGAAGTGTCTACCTTTACGTTCATCATAAACAAAAATAAAAACGAAGTAGAATCTAAAATGGGAATGCCTTTCTATATTGGTAGATACGCTTGGTTGGGTACACTTGCATCAAATGAAAATTCTCTTCCTATCAAGTCCTGATCGTGCTTAAATAATAGAAGAAAAAAAACAGCACATGCATTAAAAATCTGGTGGAAAGGGATGAGTTCAACCCTAAAAATCACATTTTTTCCAAAGAAATCCTAACCAGCACACACTTGTTAGCAGCTACTTATTTGGGAGTAAGATCATTTAATAAAGCCCAAAACAACAAAAATAAAAATTGTGCAGACTCGGTTTAATTGAGTCTGTTTATGGCCGAAACTTGAAAGGCTTAAGCAGAAAACAACATTTAACCATGGTTTAGGTGAATGTTTGAAGTTAGAAACATCCGCAAATGTGTTTATAAGGATTTCATTATTGAACCTTTAATGAGACACGTGAGTGACATTTCATGAAAAGCGGCATAAGTTCCCCAAGTGGAAGAACGGATGTGGCAAGCTTGTTGCAAGCTTGCAAATAAAGCTTGCCGCATGCTTAGAATTGGAACCTCTCGGCAGGCTTGCCGCAAGCTTGCAGCTTGTTTCAGAAATGTTTCAGAAATGCATGCTTTAGATTTTAAAGGCATCACAAGCTAGTTGCAAGCTTGCGGCAAGTAAGTCAAGCTAGTTGCAAGCATGTGCAAGTTAGTTGCAAGCTAGTTGAAGCTTGCGGCAAGCTTGCGTCTAGCTTGTAACAAACTGAGTACTTTTTCCTATATTGCAATTAAGTGTCATGTGATAAGGTATATTATTAATAAACTATTAAATAATAGAATTAATTTATTCATTTCACCTTATTTCTAGATTTAAAAGTCGTCTTAACAAACATTACTATATACATGTAACACAAATACAAAAAATAATAAATGTCTACCAAGTTGAGAAAAAATAAAACAAAACATTTATTTAAGATAACTGTTTCTGTTTTTTCAAAAATAAGTATCCGTATTGTTATTTGATAAATCATGTCATTCACACATGCAGTCTTTAAAAAAACATTCAAGGCTTCACTGTGGCACACAACTATCCATATTATTTAATGTCTGTTGTACACACTGAAAAGAAACATGTATATAATTAATTATTCATGTTTTATATGCATATGATTCATATTATAAGCATGCAATTAAAAATATCAATATTTAAAAGCACATGCATAGTAAAATATTATTTTGGCAACAGTAAATTATAATATTTTTGGCAATCTTGTCAGTTTATTTATTTACAAAAATTAAAATTATTCATGTTGCAATAGTTTTTAATTTTGTTAAATATTGCTATAAATAATTTCAACAACATAGATCTATATCTAGCAATGCAATTGTTTGTTTAAACAATACACTTGACCACATTCATACTGGTTTTGACTGCTATACATCAGATGATAATGTCTCTTTTTATCAAAACTTTTGCTTTCAAATAAATGTATGACAATTTTAACAAGTGAACGTATTACATGCATTTAAGCATTGTACAAACCTTTTAGATAAAATTATATTGTAATTTAAGTAAATCTTTAATATACAAATATTATATTCTATACAATCATTTTGTTTAGATGGATATATATACTTCATTGAAAGTTGTTCATCTAATAGTTTTGTTCAAATCAATGGTAATATATATTTCATTATTTTTATCAATTATCTAACCTTATTGAATAACAAAACTAACCATCAATTTATTTCTGTAATCAACCTCATTTTTTCTTCTTCTTCATCATTATAATTTGAAACTGTCTACGGTACCTGTAGCATTGTAAGTTTTCCTGTAAATAAAAGTAAATATTCATTACTAATACATATATCAATTGAGTAAAATCAAATGCTTATTCTGATAGTAGTTGGTACTGTTAATATAAACCCATAATTTACTAAAACATTAGGGTCTCCTTGTTCGCAGAGAGTACATGTTATGAAAAATCTAGACCAGGAATGTAATTTAATGGTACTTACTTCGCTATTGGGGCATAATAGACTAAGAGGTTTTACTTGGTATCTTATCCAGTCTTATATTTTTATTACGTTAACAGAGAATAAAGTACTCACCCTAGAGCAACGAAATTCAAATCAATGCGTGATTTTTTATTTCAAATATAAAATGGGGCACGGCCTGGGTGGCCAGCTTTACATTTTTGTAGCATTGTAAATTCATATCTTTGATTTCTTAAAACGAGACATTAAACTAATACACGATAAGAAACAAACAAATAACTTGCATTAACTTCTTGACTAAATCTTTTCTGTTATTCATGAATGAGAAATACCCACAAAAAGGCAATGAATTTAATTATATTTTATACAATTTCTAGACCCTTTCCCAATAGGAAACTCTTCCTGAAAGTAAATTTATAGACCTGTATGCACTATCATTCTTAAGAATAATGTACTGAGTATAAGTTATGCCAGTATGACCGTTTAAAAGTGTTTCTTTCTTTATATGTGTATTTTAGAAGATATTTTCAGAGAATTTTAGAGGGAATGAATGATGTATTTGCACATTCCTTTCAATCAACAATTGATGAACAAAAAGCAAAAAATAATTCATAGCGCAAAAATCGTAAATAATTGAAATGTAGGTCAGGCATACATCGATTATTACTATAAGTATTATAAGTAGTATTATAAGTAGTAGCAGTAGCAGCAGTTGTAGATAATTAATATAGAAGTATAAATCTAAAAACTACCTAAATTATAGCTCTCTTTACCCTTTAGTACCTACAGTTTCAGTTTGACATAAAATTGTTTCAGTTAAAAAGCAGAATGCAAAGATCGCTTTTAAGCTCACCTTAACTAGCTCAGGGTGAGCCTTTAGGATCGTTAATGTTCGTCGTCCGTTGGACGTCGTCCATCGTCCGTCCACATTTGTTCGTTAACACTATAGTTGTCACATTTTTGCCTCAATCAGTCACATTTTTGCCTCAAACTTTGTCAGGATGCTTGTCAAGGTAATTGCTCGGATGAGTTCGAACATTTGTCATTTCCGGTTAGAAACTAGGTCACAGGAGCTAAAAATAGAAGAAAATTGTTAACACTCTAGTGGCTGCAGTTCTGATCCAAATATCCTGAAAATTGGTCAGAAAGGTTGTTTTGATGATTTCCAGGTCAGGTTCGAATATGGGTCACCTCCGATCAAAATATAGGTCACAGGAGATAAAAATATAAAAAAAATCTTGTTAACACTCTGGTGGCTGCAGTTTTGATGCAAATATTCTTGTAAATGGTCAGGAAGGTTGTTTTGATAGAGGGTTTCTCAGTTAGATTCAAATATGGGTTGTCTCGGGTCAAAAACAAGGTTACATGAGCTAAAAATAAAAAATTATTGTTAACGCTTTAGTGGCGGCAGTTTTGATCCAAATGTTCTGGAAAATGATCAGTGAGATTGTTTTTAAATGATTTCTAGTTCAAGTTCGAAAATTGGTCGTCTGAGGTCATAAAAAAGGTCACAGGAGCTAAAAATAGAAAAAAATGTTAACACAATTATAACACGTAATTAGTGGTTGCAGTTGTAACCCAAATATTCTGAACATCGGTCAGGAATGTTGTTTTGATGATTTCTAGGTCAAGTTCGAATATGGGTTGCCTCGGGTCAAAAACTAGTTCACAGGAGCTAAAAATAAAAAAGGTCTTGTTAACATTCTAGTGGCTACTGTTTTGATCTAAATATCCTGGAAATTGATCAGGAAGTTTGTTTTGATGTTTTCTTGGTCAAGCTTTAATTTTGGTTGCCTGGGATAAAAAACTATGTCACACCGTCCAACTGTGGAAACTCTTGTTAATACTCAAATGGTAACATATTTGACTCTTTTTGACTCATTTGTCATCAAACTTGGTCAGGATGTTTGTCTAGTGTATTGCTTGGGGGAGTTCAAACATGGGTTATCTTTGATGAAAAACTAGGTCACAGAAGCTAAGAATAGAAAAATCTTGTTCACTCTCTAGTGGCTTCTGTTGTTATCCAAATATCGTGGAAATTGGTCCGCAAGTTTGTTTTGATGATTTCTAGGTCAAGTTCTAATATTGGTCACCTCAAAAACTAGGTCACTCTGCCCAAATATGGAAAAACCTTGTTAACACCCTAGAGGTCACAGTTTTGACTCAATTGTCATCAAACTTGTTCAGGATGCTTGTCTTAGTAAATGCTCGGATGAGTTCGCTGGGTCAGGTGAGCGATCTAGTGCCATCTTGGCCCTCTTGTTTAGTATCAAAATGTTGTAACAATTTTTACAGATGCGAAATAATGTGTTTCTGTAAGAAGGTCATGCTAAACGGATGATCAGCACCGGCCAAAAATGTTAGCAATATGTACATGTCCGACTATTTGGATAGTCGGGCCTCGATGAGAAAAATGATGGAATAACATTGTGTTGTTTTTTCAGTGTCTGAAAGGTTAGAAGTTTATTTCTATCTTAAAATGTATTTTTATAATAAATTTTTTACAAAAATTCTCTAGTAAAGTAAGTGCAAGTTAACATTGGAAAGATATTTACCCTTTGCGAATGATTGATTTTCAGAACAGAAATGCAAATAAAATGTATATAAATCATAATTAAATATGTAAAATGCATTGAAAGTTTAAATTTAATATATCAATTTAGAAAGATCCATACATCTCTTTTCTTGGTATAGCTAAATTATAAGAATATTTAATGGAATCTGACTTTGGGTAAAAAATAAGCATTAGTGGGTGGGGTAATGTTTTATACAGGTCTGAATAATAATGCATTTATTATGCAGTGTTGCGACTTTTCGAATGTAATGAACTTTTTTTAGCGTTTTAGATTAAATAAAGCATGTTTGTGTATTAATGTGTTACTTTGTTAAAGACCATATTTGCGTAGAGTAACTAGGGTTTTTAATTTCACAGATTTGTCTTATTGAAAATTCACATGATTTTAATACAATCAATTTTTAAGGACTTTTTTCCTGTAGTAACACATATATAGTAGATAACAAATATGTAAATATCTTTTCTGAAGGAATTTGTATGAGGTTGGGTTTTATTTTTGGCTAAAATGCCTAGTTTATGTATTTGTTTTGTATTGTCTGGTGTATAAATAAGACAATAGCAAATATCTTAAGTATTATATCAATATTGCAAGGTATGTCTTATCAGCAATGCAAGGAATAAACATTAATCATGATTAAGACGCATACCTCAACTTGCAAAAATCATACCCTGATACTAAACAATAAAGGGTGGCCATTCATGTTGTTCCTTCCCTATTATCTTTAAATAGGATCCTATAACCACATTATTCTCTGCTGGGTCTCTTTATTATAGATTTACGATTGAGGAAAATGGAATAGTAGATATTATCTAATGTAATTGAGCTTTTATATTTGTGAAAGTAAAATATTGCAGTTTTATTATTTATTAACAAGTAGACGCATTTTGCACAAAAATTATAATTTTAGCTGACGAAACGTTATTTTACTGTCTGCAAAAAAGGTTATTTAGTATAGTAGTGCAATATCATTTTAAAGGTTCTTTGTCATATCATTTTGTTGTCACATTGAGTATATCGCAATTAATTTTAAAAAGTGTTAATGATAATCTTAGTAAATGTGATCATGTGACATAATTGTACTTAATTTATTACATAATAAATACATTTTACTGTTACTTGAATGCAATTTCATCAATTATCATAAACATTAACTGCATTCGCAACATTTGACCTTTTTGTCAATCTTCGACCTCGAACATGGCAGTTCGCTATATCCTACTCTAAATACTAAACATGTAAGCAAATAAAAAACATTTGTTATACATTATTCAAAATATATACCCCTTAAATTTTGTTAACATCTGAAGCTATTTTCAACCGGTTTTAACTCAGAGATTATTATGAATAAACTTCGAGGTGTTCCGATTGCCTTGGCTGGATAGAATAAAGATAATACTATTATGGTATCCTACTTTATCATATGAATACAAAGATCAGCAAGGAAAAGCGACGATCAATTAACGTACACCCCCCAACCAACAGCGTACAGTCACACATGTCGATCGGAAAGGCACCCTGTAGAGAAACGAACAGAATCAAGGCATTTCCATTATTTTAATTTTTAAACTTGTAAGACTGTCAATCAGACAAGGTCAAGAACACATGGTAACGTTACACCTTTAATTTTACACGAAAACTATCATACGTTTTTCTGTTCATAAATTCATATACCACTATATAGCTCGTTACACCAATCTAAGATTTTTAGACCTCAATGTCTCTGGCTGGACAGTTTTTGAAAGATAATAACTGGAAACAAAAAAATGTAAATGAAGATCTTAAAGTTTGCTTAACACGGTATAATTTAGAATATTGCATTTCAGTTGATAGGAATGAAAAATCAAGCTACCGCCAATACTTCCATATTAGCGGCATCCATATTGGCTGACCAAGGAACCTTCAATCAGACACGTTCGTGTCACAACATAAAACGTGTTGTATGGATCTAAGTAAATATATGTGTGCTGTAAACAAGAAAATACACGACTCATGTCATTCTGTTTACCTCAGTATCATTATATTAAAATATTCTTATTCTCATCTACAAGTATTCATATACATATCATACATAATTTTCACTGTTCATAATAAAGCATTCTCAATATATCTATGAAACATAAACTTTAAAACAAAAACTGATCTAGTTGTATTTTTCTACATGTATACAATTTGAAATCCTGTCAAATCTTGTATTATTTGCAGCGGTTTTACCTTGTTATAACAAGGAAAAATAACAAGGAAAAATAACAAGGAAAAATTATTTCAAGGTGCTCAGCTATTACTTAGAAAATAATGATGCGCATGACTTATTTGGAAAAAGGCTTTATAAGGCAGTTCCTGTGGAACCGGTAACAGAAAGCTAGCGACGATCTTCCGACTTGTAAGACCAAACAAAGGTAAGTTTTTGAAATATCTTTTAATGTTTTACTATAACTTTTTGTTAGAATGATTTCTACAACGCATAGAATATCGTGGAATATACAATATGTATTTTTATTAACAAATAAAAACATACTTTGTTTGTTTGTTGTATAAGATGTAATTTTATTTTGTCTCGTAAACTTCAAGTCTAGTATTAAATGCGTTCCAGAATAAAAAAGGAAATTCCATATGTCTTTTTTCCGGGGGTCGACCTAAAGGCGCTTTTTCATCAACAAATTTACATGCACAGGTGTGTTGATTGACATAGGGAAATTATACCCGTATCTTTTAAACCTCAGACGAAACGCATTGTGCATGTCCGGTCTGCGGATAATATTCCACTGTTTATATGGGTTTATTTTCTAAAGGTAATGTTGGAAAACGTTGTCCGGAGTAATTTGATGAATACACATAGACGAATATTTCTCTTATATTAATGCGGATTCAAAAAGCCTTTTAAACAAATTGTAGACGGCCAATATTTTTTAAGATATGAAATAGGGGGGTTAAAAACTAACGCAAACATCTGATAATTTTTCGATTTTATTTGAGAATATACATGTAATGTAGAGAAAAAATACATATATATATTAACTTACAGACAACAAATTATATAATATTGGGCTATATAAAATAATGTTATTTAAATATTTCATCTTATTGTTAAGAAGGTGAATAATCGTACACTTTTGATTCTTTAAGTAAAATAGAAAACTGATAAAAATAGATAATTCTAATGTTTTTACTATACTATAAATGTAGTTAAAGAATATATTTTATTAATTTTACACTAATTATATGAATAAAATATTAAAAAATATTGATGTAATGAAATGAGTATTTTCATTATCAATATTTTCTCTTTAAAAGTATTCTTTTACTGCAGTGTATAATATTTTTCATATATCACGTGTGTCGTAAAGTTCTATTGTCGTTAATATGCATATTAGAAATAAATAAAGAAAGAGGACTGTAATAGCTGTAATCATTTTAAAACAGGGAAAAAGAATATTATAAACAGAAATTCATTATTTTTCTATAATTACGCTATTTATTGCATCATTATCAAATTATAATATCTTACCCGTGCATTCAACAACTGGTGAAATATTTATTTTCATATCACTCTATGAAATAAATCACATAATTATAGAAAAAAAAATCTTAATATTCCTTTTCATATATTCTTAAATTTCCTTAACGTGACAACGGAGTCAATTATCACTGATAATAACTAAAATGAGATTTTTTGCTAAGTAGATTATCAACCTTTTCTGAACACATTCGTGATTTAATTTTGGAAGCAGTTAGTCCAAAAAATGTGTTTATAAACGTTTTAAAACGGTACCTATACTATTTGTATCTGCTATTCGCGTAATCTGTCGATTATCGATAACGTTCCGCCCCCTGTTGAGGCATCAATGAGGGAAATCGGTAGTTCCATATATCCGTTTATTACAGGTCCCTTCTCGTAATACATGTATCGTACAACTACCGTACATCTTTTATGAATATCTCAACTTTTAGCCTTTTTTATAAATTAAGAAATTGTCGGCCAATGTACGTAACATAATGTATGAAACATAAATAATTAAGCATAGCGGCAAATCGCAAGACCACGGGGTTGATTAAAAATGTAGTTGCTAAAATATCCATAATGTGTGAAAATAATTTGTCTGTCCCGTTAATCTGATAGATATTACATTGAGTTGGTAGACTTTTGTACGGATTCAAGGGCTTACTTTACATTCAACCTCGTTTTCTAACAATGTCAAGTAAAACAACAACAACGACAACATTTTTTATGTGAACGCCTATATGACTTGTGGTAAGGTGTCCCTGACAAATTTCTAAACCATTTTAGATTGTCTAAGGATGATTATTTCTCTATGAATAAAAAAGATATTAAAATATATTCTCAGTGAAAATAAATTGTTCGCCAGTAAATCGGACACAGTACTAATAAATCTGGGACAAAGTATGAAATTTATTGTCAATCCCGGTAGAAACTGGATCTCTATGCCGTGCATAGATAGAAGTCAAGAAGGCCTGATCATAATGATCGAGTAATACCTTTTATTTCTATTAAAATATGTGAAGCATTATCAATTTGGTGGAAAAAAATATAATATCCCGTTCTTATTTGTACATCTACCATGCACTTTAAAACACTGTCAGAAGCTCAGTTTTTTGTTATTTTATTTTATATTTTAACGGAATTTCATACACGAATACACAGGCAGAGTGACACTGGTATAATACAATAATAATGCTGATGATAATAATAATAATAAACTTCAAAAAGGTAACAATTAAATACCCCGCTAGCGGTGCGCATATGCGTTCCATTCCCCCCCCCCCACTGACTGCCTCAAATTTTACCGATAGTTACGTGACATGTGCGACAGATACCAGACGGACAGTAAATCACGTTAAGAATTGAAGAAATTTCGGCTATAAACCGACATTAATCAGCAGCTTTTTAATTGGTCGGATGTCACTGGGTCATAAAATGTTAAAAGAGTATGTTACCTCAACTTGTGACCCTCTCTGGTGCGATATTTGTGTATTATGCAATTATTTAGCGTGAAACGTAGGGGTCCGAGAGAGAACAGCTGATTTATGACACTTCGTTTGATGCGGATCGGACTAACTTTGAATCGGCATAACTTTTTTAATAATCAAGCAATTAACATGCGGTTTAAAGCACATGAAAGGAAATTCATTTACGGAGAGAACCGTGTCAGGGATTTTTGTTTGCTCAATCAGCGACTTAATTATCTTTAATTACGTAATATGTATGGTGAAAAAAAGTCGCATAAAATGTTTGACGTTACGTAATATCTTTTTGAGAAAAGATAGAAAAAATTTGAGACACGGTTCCCTAGATAATATAAGTATGGTTATTTTCCAAAAGTTTGATGACAAAAAATAAAAAATGACTTTGATATGACGATTTAAGATTTCAGGATTTTTATTCAAAATCAATCATTTACAAAGGCATTTTTTCAAATATATTATTTTTTATGATGATCAACGACATTTAATGGACAAAGATTAAATAATTATAAATAACAATTATTACTAAAATAACTTTGTTTAAATGACATTTATGTGAGTACCACGGAAAGTGTCTGTTGTCACCTTAATATAAATTCTGAAACATTGAGAATTCGATTACATAAAAATGAGAAGTGTATTTTCCGTTTTTGTTTTACAGTGAAACATATTTCTGTTTTGTCACTGGTGTCTTTTCGGACTACATTCTTCTAAACTCAGCCAAATCACAAAATTAAAGGGAACGTTTTTCAAATTTTAATGTAGAGCAAGAGAAATATGTATACAATAAACAAAAAATTTAAGTTTAATTTCTATAAATACAGGATTAATTATATTATTGTGGCATGAAAGTTCTGATATTTCACTCGTCGCAAAATATCTATTTTCATATGTTTGTTAATTGCTAAAAATAAAACAACGAAAATAAATAAACAAAACAGGATGAAATAAAATTTGTCAGGGAAACAATATCATTATCGTTCACATCGTATAATCTAGGTTAAGTTTAATTTCTGAAATAAAATGTTGTTGTTGTATATACTCGTATATAAATTAATAAATTCTTTTTAATTTTTAGATGACATTAAAGTTTCCATTTTTGAAGTGTAGGTCAACGGCAAAAAAATGGTTTTAAAATTTCTTACGAAAGTTATACTATTTTAGGCCAACGAGTAAAAATGGAATTCATTTTGGATGACATGCATATTGCATTGTTGTCTACTTCCTCTTGGAACTCCGTTGTGCCTATAAGTTTCAATTTCTAGATTATGTGATGATAACCGAAATTGCGTTAGTTATACTCTGTATTTATTTATTTATATATACACAATTTAAGTATTTTTCAAGTTCTAGGTCGTACTTACATACATACTGTATGTTTATAATCTACTTGAATAATTTATTTCTGAATACCAAATTTGTTTATATACATATATCTAATAAAACATATCTAATATCTAATAGAAATATCTATTTCGTCAAGTATTGCTTTATTTGATATGCCTTATTATTTCCGTTATACGATATGTTATTATTGACATCTTCTTTCGTTTCAGTGTACATTTTTCTTCTCAATGAATTATTTTCTGAGCTCAAAATCTTTAAAAAATATTTAATCATAATGATTTTGCGTTGTATTGTCATCGGATACCGTCCCAGTTTCCCGTAAAGACCAGCTAGATTAGTTGATTTTAACGCTTAGTGTCTTTCTAAAAAATTTACAATGTAAACGCTCAATATTTTCACCCTCGTAATTGCTTATAATTTCGGCGCCGTAATTTTGTTGATTCCACAGACATTTTGAGTGTTTTGAGACCCCAGACCTATATTGTATAACATATCAAAAGTCTAGGAAAATCTTAATTGGGGAATGTTTTCAAAAATTGAGATCAAATACCGTTAATGTATTTATCATCCTAATTTGAACTCAAAATAATACACACATACAAATTTCCAATCAGTTAAAGGTATAATATGCATTAAAATGCAGCTTTATCTTTCCCTATAATAACATAAAGTAATCATAAAGTTGTTTGTTTAAAGAAACTACCTATACCTTTCTTAAATTTATTAAAAACTTTAGTGGGTGGGGTAATACTAAATTTCTACATAGCTTTAGATCAACACTTTATTACATAATTCCACTGAAAGATGAACGTTACATGATATTAAACAGAATAATTATACAAAATGGTTTATGTACATGTGAAAAAGGTCAAATGTCAACGTTTTATGAATTTAATACATTCCATCAATATTGAATGTATATATATAAATATTACCATTATGCAAATAGTGGTTTGGGTAATCTTATACAAACTAAAGAGACATTACAGTAATTTATATTATCTATGATAATGATATTAAGTTTTCTATTTACTTAAAATACTTTCATGCACATTAATGATTTGTTGTA